ACTTGCAAAAGTTAGACCGCCACCTAAAAATGACCGAAATTCGATTTTAAAAGACTCACTGATAGTACAAACGAGAATGCACAAAAGTACGTAGAGAATGTTCATGATTGTGTTCTCCTTCACGTCGACGGAGACATCTGGAACATTTTTTTTTCAATTTTTAGAAATCAATTTTCAATGATTTTTAGGGAATTCCCGTCAATTTCAGGTCACAATTTCAACTTTTTGGATACAAAAATTTCAGGAAATTTTAAAACGTTTCAGAAATTTATTTTGTTGAATTTCTGGCGATTTCAGGTCACTTTTTCTCCAAACTTCCAGATAATTTCAGCAAGTCTCACCCTCTAATTTGGCTCCCAATTCGAATAATCTCTCTGGAATATTATCCTCTCTCGTCTCATCGTTTTTCTCTCGAATTTCTTGTAAATCCGTATGAGAAGTGATCAAATCCTTAATACTTTCCAAACTCAAATCCTTAATTCCCATTCGAGCCACACCGATTCCATTGACCCAGAGAAGGACGGTTGGGGTGCCAGAAACGCCGTAACGGAAATTCAAGCGGTGCGATCTGGAAATTTTAAAAAATAAATGGAATTTTGTCTAAAAAGACTGAAATTAAGACAAAAAATTAATGAAAATTTGAGATTTTTCAACGATTTTTTGAATATAAAACTCTGAAATTCGTCAATTTTTTCCAGCAAATTACTACTAATTCCGGGATTTTTTCAATCAAAAAATCAAAATTTCGCGTTCTCCACCCAAAAAATGCGCTAAAAATGTACTTTGTAAAGTCTGAAGCATCGACAGCGACAGAAATTAAATTCTGGAATTTTTTCGGAATCTCATTGAAATGAGCAGCCAACCGAGAGGAGAATGGACAGCTCGGCGAGTGAAATAATCTGGAAATTTACATTTTTTTTCTTTTTTTCGAAATTTAGAAAAAAACTCACACAACCATACACCAATCTCTACCGTAATAATCGCGCATCTTGATGAGATCCATGAAATTTGAGGAGTTAATTTGTAGTACGGTATTTGACCAAACTAAATGCGATTCTTTTGTAATTTTCGGCCTAAAAATCGATAGAAAAACCTGGAAATCGACAGCGATACTCGAATTCCTGGTACTTATTGAATATGGGATCGTCGCAAATTGGATCATAGCTTAGCGGGCAGGTCTCGAGGAAATAATTTCTGGAAAATCGATTTTTTTTGTAATTTTTTAGAATTTTTTTCTAAAAATTCCGGCATTCTCCTTACTCTGCTCTCTGTATGGAACTCTCGACGGTGCAACTCAATCCTAGGGGAAATGGGTCCACTTGAAATCGATTCGCCTCGTTTTCTATGTTTTTTCGTATTTGTTCATCGGTGTGAATGGAATTCGCCATTGATATCATTGTTAGAAACGTTTGGAACATCATTTTTGTGCTGAAAAATCAATTTTTCGGGGTGGAAAAAGGTAGAAAATTATGCAAATGAGTAAAACGGCAGGTGGAAGAGAAAGAGAAAGAAAAAGGGAGAAAAGGGGGTTAGGGAGGAAGTTTCCAGAAACTTGAAATTCTTTCTTTTTTAGTAAACAAGAAACTGAGTTTATTCAAGCTTTTTTTCGATTTTTAAGAATTTATTTTGCGATTAATTTTTTTGTCGTCAAATTTCTCACATGAATCAGGTTTTCCACACTAATTTTCTGTCTCATTTTACTCCTATTATTGTCGTTTTTGATGTCCGTGTACTTTTTCCCTCGAAACAAGCGAATTCAACGATTTTATAAGAGAAAAAACGAAAAAAAAAATAGAGAAAATATGATTGAAATTTCTGCATGTCCGCAAACACCATCGCAGAGGAACACACACTTTGACGCGAAATTGCATAGATTAGAATTTTGCGGGAGTTGGCGCTTGAGTGACTTCTCCGCGGTTGTTTGTCGACGAATTTAGCATCATTGTAGACGTCAGAAGTTTGTTTTTGCAAAGTGAGAAACGGAAGTGGAATAGGACAACGATCAAGCTGAAAAATACCTTTTTAAGACAATAATCTACCGTATTTGCTCTAAACGAATGCTTGTACTTTGAGCTTAATTATCTCGGTTCCTATGAGAGATATAGAAATTTTGTCAACTGAAAAAATGATTTTCATAAAATCGGCAACATTTTACCAGATGACGAATTTTCTATATCTTTCACAGTAATCGAGATAATTGAGCTCAAAGAGCAACAGCGGTATACAACAAATTACCCATCAAGCGAATGTGCCAAAATCCATATCATTGTAACCATTGAAAACTGCCACCAGACACTATCAGATAAAAGTGTGAAAATGTGAAACGACAGTAGGCAAATACAGAATACGATGCATTGTGTGAAGGCTTGTGTGAAAAATCGGATTTCGGTTTTTCGACGTTTCGTGGCTTCGGCCGCGGTTTGAGTACTTATTCCGATGATCTGAAAATATTATTCCCTTGTATTCAACACATTTTTATTAAGCTATCAGGTTTTTGATATCATTTAAAGGGACATATAATAGTTGCCGTGCACACTCTAATTGAATCTCCCCAAACTTTGAGGCCGTACCAAAAAATAGTCAATTGATGAATTGTTTCTTGTATTTCCAATATTTTATCAGTTGACAAATTTTTGATAATTTTAACAGGAATCGAGATAAATTGTCTCAAAGTTAAAAGTTAAGAGCCCTTCTATCACAGGTTTTACGGTAACCAAACTTCCGAAAAAATGAAAAATTACATTATTAGCTTCTCTGAGCCGGAACAAAGTTAGCATATCGATAGTGAAAGCGAAGGAACACAGTATGACACCGCCGATGAAATCGAATCTGAAAATTTCTGCTTGCGATCAATTATCTCCGTTCCTATAAGAGATATCAATAATTTGTAAACTGATAAAATGTTTGTGATAATCTAAACTACATTTAATTAGTTGACACATTTTTGATATCTCTTAAAGGATAATTGAGCTCAAAGTTGAGAAAGATTTTTAAAGATTTTAGAAAGTTTCCTATTTCACAAACATAATTTCAAATCCAAAACAAATTTTTGAATTCATATCCGTGTCGATACTAGTCTTTGAATTACTGTAACTACTCACAATGACAGAAACTGTCCGCACGGATCCTCTGCATAGGTCCATTGGAAAGTGTGGGCATTAAATGCCACGTAGCATGTGTCATCTGGAAGATGTTATTCTGTTTTTTTTTGTTCCTGATAGATCAAGGATGACGTACGCCAAAAATATGGAATTGTGACCAGAAAACCAATGAGCCAAATACAAAATATCGCGTATTTGGTGTTGGGAACAGTGAACCAAATGTAGGACTGAAAAAGTTTTTAGTAAAATTCATCTTCTAGATCGACCACACTCTTTGAGCTCAATTATCTCCATATCTGTAAGTGATTTCAAAAACGTGTCAATTGATAAAATGTTGTTGATATTATGACCAACATTTCATCAGTCGATCCCTTTTTGATATATCCTATAGAAATTGAGATAATAGAGCTGGTGTTTCATTAGATAATTTTTGGGCATAGTTTTAACGAAATTATGAAACTATACGATAATTTTACTGCTTCAAGCATATCACATATTTCTGATCAACTGCTTAGTAACCGATTGATTGATCTTTCCAGCAAGACCTATCAAAAATCAAAAAGCCGATCAGAAAATTTTCGAAGATATTGAGCCGAAGACAATCGGAGTATCTGGTTGTCTGCATTCTTTCCCAAGTCTCACCTACTTGAAAGCTTAAAAGCGAACCAGGAAAGTAATTTATGAAATCTGTCTATGCCATAACTATTCTAATAGATTCCCACCTTATATGTGCACTTTGAGCTCAAATATCTCCGTCCCAATGAGATATCAAAAAGTAATCAACTGATAAAATGTTTGCCATGATATCATCAACGTTTTATCAGTCGACCACTTTTTGATATCTCTAATAGGAACCGAGATAAACCATTTTCGAAATCAGATGATAATGTTATTATTTTACTGTTTCAAGTTCATCATATATTTCCCACCAGTAACCGATTTTTTGATCCTTCATTTTTTGATTCTTTAATCACAAGTACACTAACGAGTATCTTTTGACTTTTTAAAAACTCCAGAATTCTACATTTATAAAAGGTATACCTTTATAGGAAACACAATTGACACATATCGATTGATGGATATAGCCAAATGAGCAATAATACAACTCCACCAGAAAATTATTGTACACTGCCCGAATCGTTTTCCAGTAACGCTATGAGCCAAACTGTTGTCTTGGCTGAAAATTTTACTGTTTTACCAATCCGTTTTTTTATTTTCTGAAATGTCATCAGAGCTAAAGCTTTACCAAATTCAAATTCAGATTCTGGTCTAGCTGAAAACTGCTTCATTAATTTTTTGGGACATTTTTTCCGTTTTCCTCAGACTAACTTCAAAATCATTGCTACTGGCCATGTGGTAAAGCAGAAAAGCATTCCGACATTTGAAACCAAATGAGAGAAACATAAAAGACCAAATGTGTTGTGTAGAAGAGGGTTACGGTAAATGACGAACATGGCAAGGAAGTTTGACAGGAGACCGGCGAAACCAACCTGATAATTTTTTTTTGGTTTTAGGATCAAGAATTGTTGTTAGACAACATTTTGTTAGAAATTCATTCATAAGCCTATTGTAAGGCTAGCAAAATCCATTTTCAAGCAGACTGTCTCTTTTGGACAAAAAGTTCACATAGAATAAAACGAGACCAATCTCCGAAGAAAAAATCGAAACCTATTTTTGCCATTTTAGAAACAGAAAAATAGTTAGTTAGCATATTTCAAAAACAACATGGATTTTTTTCAGAATTGTAATTCCTAGGCTAATCTGTTTGGTTGATTCGGTAATAGTCGGTTATGGTCTCTCCCGTCAAAGGAGTTTTAAAATTTTAGGACAGAAGATTCGCTGAAAAGGAAAACATTTAAAATAAATTTGTTGTTTGCAACATAACGTGCTGGTTTTTACAGAAATAAGTACTGTACTGTACCAACCAGTTTCTCAACTGTAGTTTCTGTAAACACCATCACGTCCAAATGCAGACGAAAACCTCTCCCATTCAGTACTGCTCTCTTATCAATGTTGACTTTCTTACAATTCGTTTGAAACATCAATTATTTGAAACACAAATGTGTTTCTCCTGATTCAAACCTAAATTATTTAAAACTTCACATTCGAAACATTCACATTCGAAACATATTTAAAACTTCACATTCGAAACATATCCCAAAAACAGATTTTGAAAAACCCACCGAAACCATCAAAACAGTCGCCGTCATCAATGTAGTCGTGTCGTAGACAAATGGAATAGTCGAATGGAAAATAGTCATTTTTCTGAAAAACTGAAAAAATATATATTGTGGTAAATTTTAGTCTTTTTATATGCAGTTACTGACGTACTTCGCCTCTGATAATTTATAGTTTTTGTGTTGATCAAATCAAAGTCTAATCTTTATTTTTCTTTAAATGTGACTAAGGACTCCTTAAGATTAGTAAGACTAGAAGGTTCAGAGAATGTTCTGGATACTTTTTGAACCTAAAAAGACTTTAAGGAAGGTAATCTCTTATCACAAGGGGAAGAAAATATGGAAAATATGAGCATATCATAAGCGAAAGCTCTCAAGCTCTAAGGAAAACGAGAACAATAGAATAGGTTAGAGAGTTCATGGTACGAAAAAAAAAAGAAATGAAAAATAATAATAAAGGAGTTAGGTTGAGTCATCTCAAAAAGAAAAGATGGGCGGTCTGAATATTCATACAAGGACAAGAAATCGTCATGGTGAGGTGAAAAATTCGAAGAAATGTGATAAGATGATTTGTAACATCTTATTTGTTGTCGAGTCCAAACTTTTGCTGTTACGGGGAGATGATTTTTTCTGACTGACAGATTCTTCTGATGAAAAAAGAGAATGTAGTTTACGCTTGAAGTAGAGATATTTTTGAAACATGCATATGAATGAATTTTTTAAACCAGTTAGATTATATATATTTTCGTTTATTCGAAGATTTGAAGATAAATAAAGAGTGATGGGAACCGGGAAAGGAAAATGATAAAACGAAGCTAAGAAGGACTAACCCGCAAGAGTTAGTCCTAATAGATTGATTGGTGTATGGATGGGTTAGAAAATGTTTTCAGAAGAATATTTATTCAGATAAATCATTATTAAAAAAGTGGTTTCAATGTGAAAACACCAAAATGAAACATGAAAATATATAAGCGATAAAATTGTTTTTTTACAGATAGTTGAATTTCTGTTGCGAGCTATTTTGGGGGGGGGCGGATCATTATTGCCTGGGGACAGTTTTATCCAGTTGTACTAGTTGGCAGCTCTAATAGGAACCATTTGAAAAAGTACTGAAACAGGAAAATGATTTTCGGATCCGGAACTAAAACTTCTGTTTCGAATGGTTTTCAGATTACTATATTAGTCTTTTCAAACTGATGACATTGACGTACAACAAACCTGAAAAAAGGAGGAAAAAGAGAAAAAGAAGCCTAAAAACGGAAAAAAAAAGAATTTTTTAGGTTACAATAGTTTTAGCACACGGTCATCTACAAATTATTTTTTGAACTAGGATAATAATTTCCTATATTTCCAAGAATTATTTTGCTAGATGTGTTTTGTCTTCTAGAGTGGCTGATAACTTTGATCATCTCAATTTCCGTTGTAGTTAATCGTTCTCCTCTTTTATTTTTGTTCGTTTGGATATTTTGTATTATTCGTATTCGCGTGAAAATTTCCGTGTGGCCAATACTCCAAATTAGGTGGGTAAACTATGATATTTTTCAGAAATTAAAATTAAGAATACATAAAGTTCCAAAGATTTTCCAAAGTTCACGTTTCTATTCTTCCAGGAATGGCTAGTCAAAAAAAAGGCGAAAATCGAGGTGGAGAGGAAAGAGGTTTTTGAAAAGATACATTTTTGTATTAGGTGCCATTATAACCCAAACTTTCAAAATGCATTTTGAACTTCACTGTTTCGAGATGTTCTGAAAATCAAATTTTTTTTCTTATATTGCTTATATTAGGTTGAGCGAAAAGTCTTTGTAATTTTTTTTTGGACCGTCATATCTCAGCGTTGATTTAACTTTTTTATTATTCTGTTTTTTCTATATTGTAGTACTAGTTGTGCATGCTTGAAAGATTTGTTAAAGTTACCGACGGCGTCCATAAAGACCGAGAATTTGCCCAGAGACCATCATGCTCTCAGGGGTGCTTTTTTGTGCGGGTTTCTCCAAGGTCACAATTGCAGCGTAGCTTGTCGTAAATTGTGTACAGTGTTAGGCCAGCACTATATGTCCTACACTACAATAAAGTTTTGGTTCAAAAGATTCTCCGAAAAAAACTACGATCTAAGATGTCTGGCCTACCACGTGTTGATCTCAACGAGGATACCTCTAGAGCGCTAGAAGAAGAACCAAGAGTAACGTCACGCGAGCTTGCAGCAAGTCTCAACCATCCTCAAAGAATCATCATTGATCATCTTCATGACTGTGGAAGGTTGCCAAAGATTTTTCAATTCGCCCCTCCCCTTTTGACGGATTAACTAAAACCATTGTGTTGCGACTTGGCACATTCTTGGCTTACTAAGAAATGTAGCATCAATTGGGTTGAGAATATTATTACTGGGGACGAGTAGAAAAGGACGATGAGTTCCGGCCAAGGAAACCGCAAAAACGGGCATCAAAGGAGAACTTCACGTGAAAAAGTTATATTTTCCATTTGGTGTGACAGAGAAGGCGTGATCTACAGAAGACTTCTTCTAGGCGGCGTCATTATCCATGCGAACCTCAACAGAACTCAAATGGAAAAAACATCAAAGGCTTATTGATTAAATCGCCCGAAAAATTCCAGCTTGTTGATGATTCATAACGATGCAAGAACACCCACTACTTTGAAGACCCGTCAGATGCTCCAGATGCTGGGAGTCAAGGTCTTCTGTCATCCACCGTATTCAATAGACCTGGCCCTAACAGAATAGCAACTTATCCGTTCCTTGAAAAATCTCCTTGTTAGGCGAAAGTTCCATGATAGAAAGGATGTAAAAAAACGTGGTTGGATGACGTTTCCGCTTCCCAGTCCACCGAGTTCTACGCTAAAGGAATTGCTCCACTTCTATCGCGTTGGCAAGGAGTCATATACACTATTGGTGAATATATCACACATTGAATTCTGTGTTCTTTGAATAAATTTTGTTCCGAAAAAAATTCAAAAAATCACAAAGACTTTTCGCTCAACCTAATATTTCAGCAAATGTATGTTTGAACTTTGTGTATAAATCACCTGATTTTTGCAATTACAAACTGAAAGCTTCAAAAAATAACTGAAATTTAAGCTCTCTGTCAGCTCCGGTTTCTTTTTTTTCCAGACCACCCAAACAATAATCCGAACCGAAGAATCTCGAAAAACCATCAGTGATATTTATTCAATTCTTGGTCCCCATTCTCCATACTATTTGATCAGTTTGGCAATGAACGTTCTGGTTTTTGCGGTTTTTAATCATTTGAACGAAATGGACAACTTTTTGATTTTCTCGAAAAATGAACATGTTTATATGGACGATCGGGGAAGGATCGTGTCACCAGAAATACCAAGTGTCATTGATGAAAATGGAAAATATGTGAGTTTTGTAATTCTATTTCACGATGACCCTTTCAGTTGTACATTCTCAATTTAGGGTATACAAGTGCTTGTTTTTGGTCCATTTATCATCCGTTTTATTTTTAATTTATCTCGGTTTCAATATTTTTTAAATTTATCTCGGTTTCAATTTTTTTTGATAACTTTTGAAACAGAAATCAAAATTAATGGGATCAAACACTCAAGATTTTAATGTAATTATAGCAAAAAATTCAATCAGGAAAACCTTGTTTCAGATTACGAGTAATGGAGGAATGGATCTAACAACGTTGGCGATTCTGAATAATATATCGGCGATGGTTGGTTGTGTGGTAGCAGTTCTGATTGCGAGGTTAATCTTTGAATACTGACGTATTAGTTTAAAAAAAAACAAGGATTCAGAATTTGGGGTCATGTAGTTACCGAATTTTTTTTATTAAAACGGATACTGTTTCACTAGTATTTTTTAGATGTTTCCAAGAATGATTATATTGTTCGTGAGCTCGTTAGGCAAGATTGTGTGTTTTACATTTTAGCTTTGAACGAGAATTGTTGGAGTTTTGTTGAAGCGACCGTACGTGAACTTGCCTGAAGTGATTGATGTTTATACCTTTTTGTGTGTCTACCGTATTCCTTTAATAAACCCCATCATACAGCTATCATTAGTTTCGGCAGCGTAGCTCAGCTGACAGTCCTGTTTCTCCGACTGTAAAATGCTGAAAGCTATTAGATTCAAATTTTTTGTGGAATCCTTTTTTTAAATCGAGATTTTTGAATAATTTTCTGTTTCCTCTTCATCTTTTAGCTTACAAAATGTGATGTCTTTTTGCTATTTCATATACATAAATTTTTAATTTACATCACAAATATGAAAAAATTATCCGATTCAAATTGTTACTTGGAGAATAAAAAAAAATTAAAAAAAAAAAAAAAAAAAAAAAATTTAGCATACTTTTGAAACACAATTTTTTGCATTTCCTCAGATGGTCGTTCCACAAATCCATCATCACCTTTACTATACTCATCGTCGCCAGTTTTCTTCTTTCCCAGGCATTCCTTTTCAATTTTCTCGATCGAATTGCATTTGTAATCTTATCGATTCACTCGAAATCTCTCAGTATCATTGCGATTCAAGCTGCTTTTGAGTCCGGACAAGGGAAATATAGAGTTTATGCAATCGGATTGGCTTATTATTTGGTAAATTTCCTTTTTTTGGCAGGCTTCAAGATATTTTGTTCAGAGCAATGGATTTATGTTTGTGACTTTGTTGTTGTTCAAAAAGGACAGTGATATGGCGGAGACTCAGTACATGCTCATTATCACTATGATTATTTCGATTTATGCATTAGCTTGTCCATGGCAATTGGTTCATTGTATTGTTCGGAGGGATATTGAAAAGGTTAAATGGATTTTGAACAAATTCGGGCAAAATGGTAAGATATTTTTTCAATGTTTCAGGGGGTCATGAATTGAAATATGGACATTTACATGATCAATGTTTTAGCTTTTAAAGGTGTGGGACAGGAGATTTTACGGGGGATTTTTGGGGCCAGAGTATGCATTCTACCGTGACGGTGTACAACGCTTAATGTCACTCTGCGTACAGATGTCGTCCTCGCCTTTATGAATGCAATCGGGCGACCGCTTTCTCTTTGCCCGTGTAGCTCAGTCGGTAGCGGCGCCGCACCCTCAATCCTCGTCCCACACGTTCAACTCCTCGAGAGGCATATTCAAACAAAATTTCTAGAACATTATTTTTTTCATGTCCCCCCACCTTTAATTTAAATTTTGAACATAGAGCGAGCTAAGATGTTTTCAAGTGGCAAAACTATCATTTCAGTGCCTAATTTTTACACTTTTCAAAAATAAATCGTCGTTTCATACATTTAGTAAACAATTTATTTCGAAAAGTGTTCTATGAATGTTTTGAAACCGAGTTTTCGTTTTTTTTTCCTCTGAAATTTGGAAAAATTCTGTAAGAAGTACAATTTATTTAATATTCAATCACTCAAGAACGGATCTATACTTGCAAGTTGAGCTCAATTATTTCCATTTCTCTAAAAGTCAACTGATAAAAAGTTTATCATAATATCACCAAATTTATCTGTTGAACATTTTTTGATAGCTCTTATTAGAACCAAAATAATGGAGCTTAATCAATTATCTCAGAACCACCACCGTGCGACGCTCTGGTTTATGACATTCTCTATGTGAATCGTGTCCCTCAAAATGCCATCGAATCTCTTGGACATCCTATCAAAATTCGACCGTTTCTCAGAAAAATGACAGCATTAACGTTTTTGCTGTAAGTATATGTGATTGAATTCCAGAAAGCAAAGAATATAATTACATCTAGATATTCAGAAGCTTTTAAAACAGAAAAAATTAACTGTGAAAACTTTAAGATACTTTCAATCTTGTCTAAATTCCGGAGAAATGGAGATGATCAAAACGATGCTACCGTACTCCCCAATGGAAAGTATACTGTTTTCCAAAATTGCTTCATGTCTAGCTTCTGTTCTGGCGGTGTTCTTTGTCTTTAAGTAAGTACTGTTTCTAATTGTTCATTTATATTTTTTTCGATCTTTGATGTATGAAGATATCTTTGATGTATGAAGATATAACTGGACAAAAAACATTTCAGACTGTGTCGTCGTCGTTTCCTACTGTCACTTTTATTCCTGAATCTATTAATCAGCCACACAATCTCTCTAATTCCAATCGACTCATTTTCTATTTGTTTTCAAGAGATATGCCAAGTGGTATGCTTTTAAATAACTCGACTGTTACATTTTTGTCTCAAAGTTATCAGGATTGTTTAAATTCCAATGTTCCACTTTTGGATAGTGTTTAAAAAAAAGTTATTTTCCAAAAATTTTATTTCATTTATACTAATCAAAATAGTAACACACCGTTCCAGAAGATCATGCAATTGTTCTAATAGAATATAACAGCCCAGATAATAACTTTATAGGTCTTCTAATAGAAAACTTTATAGGCCTTCGAGTTAACAACATCAGACATGGCATGTGTTGTATGAAAAAATTTTAAAATACAAAAAATCGAAGGTATGGAAGAGAAACGCCGGCCGAAGGTCTTAACTACAGTAAGCAAAAAAAGTTTGATTTTCAGAATTTACTTTTCTTTTTTTATTGTTTCCCATTGATTTTTCTTTTATTTTACCACATCTTCAGGATACGAATTCGTTTCGCGTTAAGTTAACACATCTATACTTTCAATGTAAAATATGTGCTATCATTGAACCATTGAAAGTTTTATTTTCAGACTTTCAAAAAATAAATCTTTTTTAACAATCAAAAAAAAATTTAGAAATTTTAGAAATTCATATAAAAGAAAAATTTTCATATCTTGCACAACTGGAACATTTCTAACAATGTAAAAACTAAAGCGCTTCAATAAATACAAGCGCAACTAGAAATTGAACAATTGAAGGCTTTCAGATTTTTGCCAGCTTCTAGAAACCGGTTTCTTTTTTTCAATTTCCATTGTAATTTTATCTGAATTTTTTTCAATTTCGACAGATTGTGAAAAGTTCAAATGTATGCCTACATGATATGAGTAATATAAATCAGAATTATTTGGAGTTTGAAAGCAACAAATATCAACAAATTATTAAACCTCAAAACTTAAAAAAACTATGAAACACATTTTATTTCGAAACATGAATTCCGAGTTAATCCAAGTTCTTTTTATTCCTTTTAAAGTGTTGTCAATCCCTTCTTGATATATTCAATTTCAGCATTTCCAGTGGCTGTAAGAAGAACTGGAGTCGATATGGCAATGATTAGAACAACGAAGAATATGACCATAGCCAATTGGCAAGTATCCAATGAATTGGGTCGATGGGTAGCGGGTGCTAGAGATGCACTCTCCATACGGCTCTGAAAAATATTTTTTGGATGTTAGATTTCGAAGAACACTCTATTTTTTAATCAATTTATTTTTATTTTTGTAAAAGATATCAAAACAAGATCAACTGACAAAAGATTTATCAAAATATCAAAAATATTTTGTCAGTTAACTACTTTTTGATATCTCACACAGGAATCGAGATAAACTGGCTCAAAGTTGCTTACTGTCTCTCACCCCTTCATTTTCCGAGTTCTCCGAATTTTTCTTATTCTTCTTCTTGTTATTTTTCTTTCCATCATCACTCATTCTACTAGCTCCGCCTCCTTTTCCACCCTTCATTTTACTTTTACCATCCATTTTTGACTGATCCACAAATGCTCCTGCGCCATTTTCCATTTTCGATGCCTTGGATGCTGGAGCAGCAGATCCTGAGGCTCCGGCCACTGGAAATTGTGGGATTCCTCCTGTGTTTCCTGCTGGAGAAGCACCGCTTGATGAGACTGGAAATGCTGGAATTGCTGGGTTAGCTGCGGGACCGCCCATCTCTTCATATCCTTCGTCATCCGCTGGTGTTGACATTTTTGAATTGTCTGTTGAAAATCTTGATGATTCAAAATTCAGGGATTGAGTTTTTATAAGAACGTTTTTTATTTTCAAAATTTCAATTATTTTCTCTATTTTTAAAGATTTCAGATTTTTCCGATTTTTGATGTCTGAAAATGTTGTATACTGAGACCGTCAAGCGAAAAACAAGCGATCCAAAATTAAATAAATTTCAGCTAGAAATAAAACAGTGAAAAATAATATTTATAAAAAGTTAAGTGGAATTTGTAAAAGTACCTTTAAACTGTTGCAAATGGCAAGAAAATTGAGAACTGAGAGTTCTTTTTGAAGTTTTATGAATTTCTCAAAATTATTGCAAGAGTTGGCTTACGTGGGCAAAAATTACAAAAAGGAATGAAGTTGGATCGATACCTAGAAATCCCAATATCCGATATAGCTGAAAAATTTAGAACTGAAAACATTTGAGTGTCTTGATAAAAACTGTATTGTTTTCAAATTTTTCAAGAAATTGATTTTTCAAACACACTTACAATTAGCTTAAGAGAAACAAATTCTGGGAGAGATAGCAAAATTCATAACATATCTGAAGCAGAAAAAAATTATGTAGAAATGTTCTCAATCTGTTTATTTGGGTCTCCTCCAAAAGGGAAGGTTCAAAGCAACGACATGACATAAGACCGAAAGCCATACTTGTAACGGGCCGGGCCGGGCCGGGCTTTTTCCGGAAATTCGGAGGCCCGGCGGGCCCGTCATTTCACTAGTTTCGAAATTTTCAAAAAACACATAAGGGGGGACCCTTATGTGATTTTTTTTCTACCAAAAAATTTTTTTTCGAGTTTTTCGATCTTTTTTGATCAGACAGACAAACAGTCCGAAAAAACGAAAAAAAATGGAAAAATTATATTGAGAGCTCAAAATTTGGCTCAAAAATACAGAATTTTTGACACCGGGCCTTCCGGGCCGGGCCTTGAAAATTTCCTCAAGCCCGGCCCGGCCCAGGCCCGGGCCCGGGACCGGGCTTTGGCAGGCCGGCCCGGAATTTTACAAGTATGCCGAAAGCCAAACTTGAATTTTGTCGGAAAAGCTAGTAATCTTTTCTCAAATATTTATTCGATCGTGTCATTGATATCAAGTAATCCCTTGGGAAATATACAGACAGCGAAAAACAGGAAAAAAATTCGGATTTAATTTTTGTACTCATTGTTTTGGCATTTGGTAAAATACTGAGATTCAAAGACGAAAATAAACAAATTTATAAGAATTTTCGATAGGGGAAATTTTAAAAATTTTCAATTAATGAGAAAAATGTTTTTTTGAATTAAAAAAAAAACCAAAAAATTTTACTAACTCAAACAAGGTGCGCTAACATAAAATTAGAATTATTCAAATTCAGTCTAAACTACCGTAGAGGAAATACGGTATATAGAATTCATTTTTAACATCAACAAAAAAGAAAATGTCCAACTAATCAAAAATCTCATATTAATAAAGTTGTTTTCTAGCGCAGATAATCCTTGTGGTTTTCAGTCTGAAATAAATCATGAAAAACTGCAGAGCACATTGTTATGTGAAAGTGACTGGGAAGCTTCCGCCCCAAAATAGTATTTCAACTGGTTACGATAATTTTTAGCTCATCTCTATCTAATTGCCCGAGGGTACTTCGAAATTTTTCAAAATCGAACAGACCTAAAGTTGAACTCATTCAAATCAGAACAGTGTCTTTCTCGAACAAGTATCAAAACAGTACAAGGACAGAATCGAACTGTTCTAATTCGAACTGTGCACTGTCGAACTGTCCCAAATTGGAACGCTGTTAGCCGCCGAGCGCGTTTGCA